CGACTTCTTTTAGTGCCAGGTCAGTAAATAACTGAATGACATAATTGGATTTCTGGGATAAATTGTTATACAGATATCAAGCCATTATATCAGATGGATGATATTTTGTATTAGGAGGACACGGACTTTATATATTTATGTTATGATGCCATGGTATGAGCTTGAGTCTTAGGACCATGGTTAGGGTGCGTATATTGCCTAAGATGGATAGCTGGACAGAGGTGTTATTCCTTGGTAGGTATAGGTACATATGACCACATTATGTGCGATTTGCATGGTATCTCTACTCAGGCTGAGATAAACCTATTGGACTAGTGAGTGTCCTATAGTGTGTACTTATACATATATGGACTACTCTAGATATTGTTGAGTCTATCTATGATGTATCTGCATATCGGGTTTATGTATGGATCGTAGTAGAACGGGACTTGCATGTGGACTTGACCCACTCTCTTATTTTTTCAGGTGTTCGACAGTACCAGGCTTAGAGCTTGATTGTGTTGATGCAGATACAGACACTCACTCTTCCGGTTACATAGGATTTCATTTCTATTTTAATTTTGGATTTTAATTCTATAAATTTATTCAAAGATTTGGGATTAGGAGTCCACTAGGTGGATTCCCTAGTTGTACGGATTTAAATTATATTAATTTATTATTTAAGGTTTGAGGATTTTTATTTTAGTTTTCTTCCAGCGCATTATTCTTTTATTCTGAATTCAGTTTTTATTCCTACTTTTTTACATATTGATTGTTTGATATCCCTCGGATCTGTGCTCGGACTTGATCATCCGTGGCTTTAGAATCGAGGGGTATCACATTTAATTTTTTAATCGCTTCACTGACAACATGCCCTTGTTCGTACCAAAAGTAAATGTTAGGGACTTTTAAGAACCTGCAAACTACAGGGGTGTTTAATGCCCGCAACTTTATAACTAATAAAATAAGAACAATGCTTGTCTAAGGCCGCATAAGTAGGAATGCCATTTTGATACTGACAGGGACCAATAAAAATATGACATGTGTCAAAAACTTTTTAAAATAATTAATAAAAATTATTTGGATCTTTTTGCGGATTATCCAAAAGGAAAGATTTTTTTTTCCTTCATACGTTTGAGATTTTATATTGCAAACCCTTCATATTGCAATCCGTTATAGAAGAAGTTAAAAATTAGCCCAAACATGGTAAACTAACCACAATTGTAAGACTCCAATTATCAATGGAGTCTAAAGAAATCAATTTGACTTCAAATTGCAATAGGTTGTGATAAATTTCAAAATTTTGAATGCCACCAAAGTTATGCGTATTTATTAATTGGTCGGCCTCTTGAGTCATTCTAGTGCTAGATTGCAATAGAGATGGCAGGCAACGAATGTGGCGGCTTGAATCATCTTTAAAGATTGGATGTAAAAGATTAGGGTTTGGGAATGGAAGAGGTGGCAAGCAGTGGAGGTGGTGGAAGTCGGTTGGCGGTAGAGAGAATTAATATTAGGGTTTCAGAATTGGGAAAATGGTAGGCATCAATGGAGATTTGGTGGCAAGAAAAATGGAATCGTGAGTTAGAGAGGGAGAGCCCGCTACCAATCTCACACACGCATGAGTGAAAATCCTTTTCCTTTTTGGATGACTCGTGAAAAGATCCGAATGATTCAGATTTAATTTTTTAAGACACACGTCATGTTGTTATTGGTTCATATCAACATCAGAAAGAGAGTTCTACTTATGCGGCCTAATGCTACTTTTTTTTATTATAAAATAATAGTCACAATAAACAATTATTAATATGGTTTAATTATATTTTTATTAAAATATTCTCAACATTCCCAACATATTTTAATAAGAATCAAAATATATATATATATATAGTTGGACAACTTACTTTGTATCTCAATTATGACTATATATCACTCTTCCAGTAGATACCCGTTAATATATATGTGTTTTTTTTTTTATGCATAAAAAGGAAGAGTACAAATGCAAGTTGGATAGTTCAGCATCTGTAGCTTGAAGCAGCAACTGAGGCCAAACTCTCCAAATGTCTTTATTACTTTTACAAGAAAGAGCCCTACGGGCAATACAGTGGGCAACAGAGTTGCCATTGCGAGGAATCCATTGAAGGTGCCATTGAGGGTGAGTCGCCAAAAGGACTTTGTTGTCATCCATAAGAACTGAGGAGAGTTCCTCTGATGGAGAGAGGTGCATGATGTTTTGGCAGTCGCCTTCAAAGATGACCTTATGGAGGGATTTGCAATGAGCGATCTTGATGGATTCACGTAAGACCCATGCTTCTGCCATTTCTGCGGAGAAGACAGAGTGGGAAAATAAAGAAGCTGTAAGAATTATGTGTCCCTGAGAATTGCGAACGATAATGCCTCCTCCTGCACTTTTGGAAAAATGGTTAAAAAGAGGCATCCATATTAAATTTCAGAACATCTGCAGAGGGAGGAGTCCAACAAGTAGAAACCAAAAGAGGACTTCTAGACAATGGCTGAGAGGGAATATCAGAAACTTCCCAATCCCAAAATTCCTTATAGTTGGCGAGAGCTCGTTGAACTGTTGAAAGAGGATCCCATTTCTCATTTTGGAACTGCCAAGAATTTCGACTCTTCCAAATTTGCCAACACAAAAATGACCCAAAACTTATAAGTTTCTCAGAGTTGTCTGCATTCTTCCAGATTTCCATAAGAGAACCCCATTGTTGGTGCCATATTGGAGAAGTGAAAGCATTGGGATCAAGTCTTAGAAGACTGATTTTCCAAATCAACTGAGCGTTCGGGCAATGACAAAGCATGTGGAGGGTGTATTCCTCAGCTTAACCACATAAATTGCATAAAGAGTTAGAGATGATCCCCCTTGATTGAAGGTCAGAGAGCACTGTGAGACGATTATGGTTACTTTGCCAAATGAAAAATTGAATTTTCCTCTTGGTTTTGATCTTCCAAATTTCCTTCCATTGAGACTTAAATTCTTGATGGCCACTACTACTAGCTTGCTCCGGCGAGCAATAATGTATGCACTTTTGACAGAGAAATGCCTTGTGGAAGTCACCCCCCAAACTCCAAACTGACGGATTGGGATTTGAAGGATCAACTGGGAATCTCTAGGATTGAAGAGTTGATGAATCAAATCAGCATTCCATGAGTTGGAAGCAGGATTAATTAAATCCACAACTGAGTTAAGTTGAAAATTTTGGGGAGTCGACATGACAAAAAAATTGTTGGGATCTAGAAGCCACGGACCTAGCTAGCAATTTGTCTTATTGCCATTAGCAAATTTTCATTTCCGACCAATTTTAATAATATCTTTGGAAGAAGAAATACTTTTCCATATCCATGATGCGCTAGGACCACACAACCTGATTGAAGGAAGTTGGTTCTTGGGAAGTATTTGCTTTTGAAAACTCTAGCAAATAGAGATTGGTCAAAACATTGAAGACGCCATCCTAGTTTGGCAAGTAAAGCAGTGTTGAAAGCTTCTAAATTTCTGAAGGCAATACCGCCTTCTTCTTTGGATTGGCATAGCTTGTCCCACGCTATCCATTTTACTCCAATTGATTTCTCTTTGCCTGACCACCAACAGTTCATCATGAGGCTTTGAATTTTCTTGCAGGTCGAGAGAAGGAGTTTGTAGCATGACATTGAGTAGTTGGGGAGGGCTGCAAGAACTGTTTTAAAAAAGGACTTGTCTTCCTGCTTTGGATAAGTTTTCACATTTGAGAGATTTTAATTTAGAATATACTCTATCAATCAGAAATTTAAAAGTGATGGTCTTGCATTTGTCAATAATTGAAGGGAGACCTAGGTAACAATTCTGTTACCCCCAGGATATTGCGGATTTGAGATTGGGATTGTTGGGGAACATTAGGGCTAAAAAATATACCTCATTTTTGAAAATTCACTGATTGATCTGTAAGGGAGGAGTAGTGGTCAAGGATGGATTTGATCTTGAAAGCTTCTGAAGTGAGGGCTTCACTAAAAGTGTAACCGTTTTGCTCACTTTAATTATTTTTTTAAACACTGAACAGACCAAACTAACACATCCAAAATAAAATTATTTATTATTAAATTAAAATATCCAGATCATTGTAGTGGGTGGTCCTTGAGCTGAAAGCGCGGAAGTGATTCCATGCGTAAGTAAACGAAGGGATGGAATAACTGTGGGGCTGTGCTTTTCCTTGGCGTAATGTCACGAAGTGATTCCTAAGACGCTTGGAGGATGGAAGACACGCATGCTGGTTGGCAAAGAGCAGAGTTTGACTGGGAATGGTTCCAGGGAAGGGGCGTGCAGGAGCACAGGATGGTACCTCTTCAGAGTTCAGGCAGGTCGACTCGGTTCAGTTCGAGGTGCTTGTCGCTAGTCTTAGACTTGACTATGAAGAAGGGAGTTGGCCATCCCTGCACAAACTGGTCGGGAGCTGGAGCCGTTCCTCTGACGAGGCTATGGCAGGCCGAAACCAGTCAGCATGTATCCTTGGGAGGGTAGGTCGTGGTGGCTGACCAGGGCGCTTGCGCGAGCTGAAGCAACGCCTTGGTGCCGCACGGGCCGTGCCGCTGCGCCAAATCTCTAGGCCCGTGACAGTAAGGTGTGCGTGAGTGTGTGTTGTGTTATTTTTTATTTTTTTTTTTTTCACGTGTGTTGTGTTATTTTTTATTTTTATTTTTATTTTTTTTCACATGTGTTTTGTTATGACTTATCAGTTTTACACAATCGGGCAGTAAAATCTCTTGTTATTAGAAATAAAATGCATTCAATGTCAAGATGTCTAGTAATTGCTTGTTATTAGCAATAAAATGCATTGAATGTCTACATGTCTAGTAATTGCTTGTTATTAGAAATAAAATGTATTCAATGTCTGGATGTCTAATAATTGCTGGGTGCGTTATTTAAAGAGTGGGCCTTGTTTACAGCCTAGACGAACATAATATGGCATTTCGGTAAATAAAGGAACCCACAAGGACTTTTCCTTTTTTTAAAAATGAAAAAACTGTTAGATTATTGGATTCCAAAACTGAGCCGTCCGCCGGAATCAGTTCTTTGCCCCCTGGGATACAGCGTTGACGGCCAAAGAAACGTACTTTTCCTTTTCAAAATCATCATCTAATCCCTCCCCCCACAAACATTTTCTCTCTCTCTATATATATACACACAGGTATAATTGTATAGAATTTTAAGTATATTATATTGAAAAACGTTATTATCGGTTTGAATTTTCGAACGCAGACCTCTGCCCGAGTGTTTGACGCATTTGGTTGAAAAATCCCTGAGGTTTTAGAGAGAGAGAGACAGAAAGACAGAGGGACGAAGAGCGATGGATTCGCCGAGGTCCATGGGCACCGATTCCACTCGGATCGCGGCGAGGGCGTCCATGATCGACTCAATCAGGGGTTGCACTCTCGCTGGAATTCGAATTCCCAAGGAGGAACTCCAGCGAAGGATTATTATGCCCCAGTACCTCCGCCAAGCCATCACTGACGCCATTCAATCCAAAGACGTCAACGCCGGTGACCGCCACTACCCCCCCATCGCCGCAGCCGCTGTGCCTTCCCAAGCCCCCGAGTCCCCCATGGTCGTCTTCATTAATCCTAAGAGCGGCGGACGACATGGTCCTGAGCTCAAAGGAAGGCTTCAGGAATTGATGAGCGAAGAACAGGTCCCCCCCTCTCTCTCTCTCTACACACACACACATATATGTTCTTTTAACAATTGAGGCTGGACTGATGATGAATTAGATAGGTGTGAGGATTTCTTTTTGGTCGGGATTGCAACTTTGCTAAAAATGTTCAATTTTGAACAAAACTTTCATTATAAATTTGTAACCTTGACCTTCCTGCTCCATTAATAGATTTTTTTTTTTTTTTTTTTTTCAGTTCCAACGGCTGTAGTTTTAATTGATTCATCCTGGCTCTCACCTTCTTTCCCTATACATGTCTCTGTACACACGTATGTAAAAAAGGCATAATTTCATAAAGTCCAACACCTTCCCCATACTACTTGTAGTGGCTTCGGAGCTTGTCATCTCACCAAAAAGCCCAAGCTTTAGGTGTTGCCGCCTACCCACCCTTATAAGTCCAAGACCCTCTCCATCTAGATCCGATGTGAGACAAGAACCCTTTTACATTCTGGACCATCTGCTCTAATACCATTTGTAGTGGCAATCAAGAACTGGGTCTGCTCTAATACTGCTTGTAGTGGCTTGGGCGCTTGCCATCTGACCCTAAGTCACATAAAGCGGGAGCCGAATTTCAAAAGTGGCAAAATGTAAGTCACATAGAATGGGAGCGGGAGTAGCATGGAGCGTGAGAGCGACACCCATTTAGAAGAATTGTGTGCCTTATATCCGACTAAAAATTACATTCTCCCCTACCCGAACTCGCAAGGCCCTTGTTGTAACAACCCGGACAGGGACGTGGCCCATCCCGTGGGCGCTTTGCGTGACACCGGACCAAGGAGCAAACCTGCTCTAATAGACTAATACCACTTGTAACGGGCTGAGCGCTTGCCATTTGATCCCAAAGCCTAAGCTGTTAGGTGGTGCTGCCTACCCGCCCTTATAAGTCCAAGATCCTCTCCATCCAGATCCGATGTGGGACAAGAACCCTCTTACATTAGTCCACTAAATTATCTCCGTATAATGATGCTTATGCCTCACTTTGAGGCTTACTCATCACATTATAAGTTGCTGAAAAGCTTTAGCTCCACTTTTTGTTTCAAAAACATAATTACTAGTTACATTGCTCCTTGCACTTTTTCAAGGTTGAACAAGAAAAGAGGCTTAGTTGGTTTGGTGCGATGGTTGTCTCATGTTTGGAGGATTTATATAATGCATGATTAGAAAATTAAAATGTTAAGACATTAAATAACCTCAGCACCTAACTGATGTATCATTTGTCTCTATAATATAATTTTTGAATTTCAAATGTTCAAATTTATTATGATTTACTCTTAAGAATTTCTACCTTACTATCTAGTATCTAATCCCTTGAGAATTTTAAAATTCTTCTAGTCCTAGCTGTTCAGTACTTTCACTTCAGTACTCAATTAGACGAGGAACTTGACTAAACTTGTCAAGTTTGAAATAAAAAAATTATTATTGGGAAAAGGGAGAATACATTAAGGTTGAACCAAGTCTGAAATGCTGACTGAAGTGGCCACTTGGGGTCCAAATGCTAATGGGTCCAACGTCTCTTTTATGCCTCTAGGATGCTCGTGCATGACATCTTGTGATAGTCTGTCTGTCGTATTATGTGCTTACTTTTTTGTTAAAGTTTTATTTAACAAAATCTTAACACTGATTTTCCCCCACTTTAAATATGCCAGGTTTTTGATCTTTCAGTTGTAAAGCCTAATGAATTTGTTCAGTATGGATTGGGTTGCCTGGAGAAGTTGGCAGGTCTTGGAGATGGCTGCGCCAAAGAGACTCGTGAAAAGCTAAGGGTTTTGGTATGCATGCTAGGGCAAATGGATTTCTCAAGTTTTATTACAGAGCGAACTATGTGCAATACAAATATTATTTTTTTCTCTAGCTATCTGGAAATGGTCACTAGCGACCACTTCAGTGATATAACTCATATGCTGTCTGTTTGACTTTTCTACAAATCCTGAAATCTATACATGGGAAATTTAAATTAACTAGGTCGGTTTGACAGGTAGCAGGAGGTGATGGTACAGTGGGTTGGGTCCTAGGATGCCTCGGAGACCTTTACAAACACGGTCGGGAGCCAGTTCCTCCAACAGCAATTATTCCACTTGGCACGGGAAATGATTTGTCTAGGAGTTTTGGTTGGGTGAGTTTTTATCTTTGCATCAATTATGCAGCTGTCTGCTTCTTGTCCATTTTTTTTTCTTGGTAAGGTTCCTGTCCAGCTTTGTTACTCTTTGCCTTGAAATTTATTTACAGGGTGGTTCATTTCCTTTTAATTGGAAATCAGCAATCAAAAGAACTCTTGACAGGGGTTGCACAGGTCCAATTTGCCGTCTGGATAGGTGAGCATTCATTCATTTGGTATTAGTTACTAATATCCTCTTGTTTTAGTGATTGCTTATACTTTTCCATTTAGAAATCAAAGTTTGCTGCAAAGACTGATTCTTTTTAACCCTTGGTTCACCACATTCATCTATATATTTCAATTTTTTTTTTTTTCCTGAGTGAAGGATTTTTGATAAATATAAACAATAATGTACATGGAAATATAGTGAAGGCATACCTTCACTTTACAAAACACAGACTACCCTAAAAATAAAGGGCAGAAAAGAAAACAATGCTAAGGACAAAATGGTTACAAGATATCCTGAAGGAATACCCCCAAGACATCAAGAACCTCCCATATAATACACTTAGCTATTTCCATTGCATCTCTACATATATCATTATGCATTCTCTCATTTCTTTCTCTCCAAATAAAGTATAACACAGCAGTAAACAAAATTCTAGCCATTTTGTTACTTTCCTGTAAATCTTTGATTGAACACCATTACCAACTTCTGCAAATCCAGGACCCTCTGTAAATTCCATCCAAATATGACAGAAATACCATTCCAAACTTTCCAAGTAAAGTCACAGCTGCAAAATAAATGATCCAGTGTGAATTGTATTGACTATGAATGTTCTTTGATTGTGGTTTTCAGATCACCAATTTAATATGCAATTTATATCTTTTCATTAAATTCATATAGAAAAAGAATCCCATACCATGATGCTCTATCTGGGAAGCAAATGGCATTGGCATTTGTTCTTTGATGTGGCATGTATGATCGCAGATGACAATATAGATACAACCAAATGATACCATACGACCAGGCTAAATCTTACACAAAGAAGGCAAACAAATAATAATCATACAATGCAGGTGAAAATGAGGAGAATTTCCTCACATTATTTATTTTGTCCTTCAAAGTGTTCTTCTTAATACAACTCTATAAAAATCAAAACTACCATGACTCCATGAACTATTCTGCTAAAAAGGTCTGCTCAATTAGTCTTCAATACACCACAAATTCTATTTGAATTGCTGACACTGATTACAAATTTAAATAAAATACGACTTCAAGAATCTTAGATGTTAATAGATAAATTAGTTTATCTGCTAGCAGATTGAAATAAATTAGAAAAACAATATTTAACAGAGTCCATTTTCCTTTCCTCTTTGTTTTCTTGAAATGGAAATTTTTTATTATTATTATTATTTTTGGTGAAAAGAATGATTGTGTAGAAATGATGTATCCAGAGTACATATGATTGAAAGCTGTACTTTGGTATTGCAGTGGTGCTTGCAAGATGTTTGAAGCAAAGCTCTGCTTACACTTTGTGTCCACCTCTCTCTCTCTCTCTCTATATATATATATATATATCTATATCTATATCTATGTGTGTGTGTGTGTGTCTGTGCTGTTCTCTGAGTGTGAATACTGCTTGGATTACTTGATTATGACAAATTGTGTGAAATGACCCAGAACTGACTGCACTTACTCTCATGTTAAGCACTTTTTTTACTGGAAATATGCTATTTACTTGTATATATATATTTGGTTTCCTCTTATTAATGTATATTCTGAGCTTCAATTTATTTTTTTCACTGTTTGTAGTTATATAATTCTTGTGGTTTTTCTCTTTGGTAGGTAAAATCTTGTGATTTTAGAATCTTCATATACTTGCCAGTTTTGTGAAATGTAACTATATATTATGCACAGTTGGACACTTCTCATATCAATGCCAGCTGGGGGGGAACAACTGGAGACACCCCATTCTTTGAAAGCAACCGAAGATCTTTCTCTTGATCAGGTCCATATTTAAATATTCTTCAAATAATTCAATTATGGTCACTTGTCTGGTTTTACTTGGCTAATCTTAGTATGATCACAAGTTATCGTCATGAACATCTGAATCTTACAAATGAAGTTCTCTCTGTTAGCACATCTTAGTTTAGAGTTGCACATCAACTTATCTTTTCATGTTGCTAAGTGTGCTAGCAATGCATATACGGAAAATATACTTACGGAAAATATACTTTTCAATTTGGTGCTCCACTCTTAATTCTGATTTCCATTGGTTCTATCTGTTGATGCAATAAGTTCATCTAAACAAATAAGTAATTACGTACGATTTTATCAATCCTTGTAATCCTTCATGCTTTTGAGGAGACTGTCAGAGAATATTGTTTTGGAAATTTATAATTTATTTCTACATAGATAAAATGTTCAAAAATATGATTCATTGTATATGTTCGGGAAGTTGTTTGTTTCTTTCATTTAAATGTTTTAATTGCAGCTGTACTATCCTGATCCCTTGATGCAAAAGATGTAGAAATGACTTTTGGGGCATAGTCGGAATATCCAAAAACAATTTAATCATCAAGAACCTGGTTTTGGAATTTTGTTGGCAACACTACTAGGATTGCCTTTGCTCTCCATGCCCTAGTCAACAGGAAAAAAAAAAGATAGAAAAAAAAACGATATTCTTTGTACTTTTTTCCTCAACTTGCATTGGAGGTATTCTTGACATTGGTCAAGGCAAATCCATCAATCTCTACTGGCAATTCAGTTGCTCGTTCAGAAAGAAGTTGATACTGGCAGTCTATATTCTACTTAAAGACATGTTTTAGGAATTTTTTTTAATAGTTTTTAAGGTTGTAGAAGATTTGGTAAAACCCTTCTAAGTATATGGGACAGAGCTGCTTGACGATATTGGTTGAGATCTCTGATCACATTAGAGTTTCGGACAGAGTTGTTGTTTACTCTTATTTGGAGTGCTTTTTTATGAATGCAATATGAATGGTGTTGCTGAGTTGTTGCAGATGGATGTCTTAATCAACATTTGCTGAGACTCTTTTGCCTTATGCTTCAAACTAATATTTGTTCAGAGGAATGTCTTATTGGAGCAAAAACAAAACTATTAGAAAAAGATCCACCAAAGTATTGGCTTGAGTGGTATGTCCTTCAACTCGCCAATGGGGAGGTTGAGGGTTTAAGCCCCAGTGGGGGTATGTGTGTGAAAATATATATACCTATCGAAAAAATACTGTTAGAAAAACAATATTTATATATATATATACTTATATTTTTCCTATATAATAAGATTCAGATTTGTATCTGGAGTCTTCTATTTTCTCGACCCATTAATTTCTTTCGTCCTCGTAGTGGCAGATAGCAAGAGGAGAAAGTGGAATTGGGAAACCTGAATAATCCACAAGTTCTTTTCCTCTATTGTTTTCACCCCATTTTTTTGGATTTTCGTGTGTGTGTCTGAGAGAGAGGAAATATGCAAACCATTGAGAGAGAAAATACCTTAATGTTTGGCTCCTCTATTTATAACACTATATGAAAAATTAATATAAATTACATATTTTTGTCTCACAAGTATCCTAGGAACACTCGACCGGTAAAACGTAATAAAATATTGAATGCATATGGGAGAGACAGAATTTTCAAATTGATTAATGCGCGGATAATAAGTTTTAGTGCATTCTCATTTTTAATCGAAGATCATTTTCAGATCTAATGAATTTTTGTGATATATTAAATTTTGAATTGTTACTTTTATATTTTAATGGTGAAACTTTATCTGGATTGTGCAGGGGCTGGAAGTTGAAGGGGAGTTGCCTGAGAAGGTGTTTTGCTATGAAGGAGTGTTTTATAATTACTTTAGCATAGGTAAGCCATCTTGACTTAAAGAAATTATGTACAATTTATGTTTCACCCATAACCTTTTCTTACCCAATTATAGATTTGGTTCATCTCAATGTAAATGAATTTTTGAGCTTATAATTTTAATTGGTATTGGAGTTAAACTTCCAACCTTCAAAACTGGAGCTTCTAGCTTTGATTGTTATGACTGAGGTCGACCAAACTGAGTCTTTTGCCTGCCAAATCAATTCCTAATAGTAGGATTTATGCGTTCACTTGATCTAGATGAACTTATATCATTGTGCTTCCATAGAAGATCTGAATATTTAGAATCACTCCCGTATAAGTAAGAGTATAAGAAATCATTATGGTTCAAAATAACTAGGGAATGGTGTTAAAAATAACAAGCACACAATGATTTATAATTACTTTAGCATAGGTAAGCCATTTTGACCTAAAGAAATTATGTACAATTTATGTTTCACCCATAGCCTTTTCTTACCCAATTATAGATTTGGTTCATCTCAATGTAAATGAATTTTTGAGCTTATAATTTTAATTGGTATTGGAGTTAAACTTCCAACCTTCAAAACTGGAGCTTCTAGCTTTGATTGTTATGACTGAGGTTGACCAAACTGAGTCTTTTGCCTGCCAAATCAATTCCTAATAGTAGGATTTATGCATTCACTTGATCTAGATGAACTTATATCATTGTGCTTCCATAGAAGATCTGAATATTTAGAATCACTCCCATATAAGTAAGAGTATAAGAAATCATTATGGTTCAAAATAACTAGGGAATGGTGTTAAAAATAACAAGCACACAATGATTTATGTGGTTGAGTGATAGCCCAAGTTGACAGAAATTTCCTTATAAGAATGATTGTTATAAGAAGGTTGCCCTAAATTGACAAAGGTTTGCATCCCTCTTTTTACAATGACTTCTCTCTACATCCAGAAAAATTCCTGAACTGGTCTTCTGTAATCTGGTCTAATAATGCAAGAGGAATGGATGCAACCTCCTATATAGTTGTCTTATGATAATATTTTTTATAAACCTACTGTAACGGGTGGGCGCTTGCCCATCTACCCAAAAGCTGCATACCCACCCATTTATACTTCATTTTCCCATCCGGATTCGATATGGGACAAGCTTTCCCTTGTAACATTCTCCCCCACCTGAACTTGCAACGCCCTCGTTGCGGCTCGGGCCACCCTGCCTACCCTGGGTGAAGACCCGGACGCCTTTTGGGCCGGGTGCTTGGCGTGATACCGAATCAAGGGCTGGGTGTGGCTCTGATACCAATTATAACGGGTGAGCGCTTGCCCATTTACCCAAGAGCTTTAGCTCTTGGGTAGTGTTGCATATCCACCTATATATACTTATTTATTTTCCCATCAGGATCCGATGTGGGACAAGCTTCCCCTTGTAACACGTACTGACTTGTCTTCCTCCAAAAAAAGTCCTACTAACGCAACCTCCGATTTAGTGTCTTATGATAATCCTTTTTTTTTTTTAATAAATTTTTTCATTTTTGTAGTATCTTATCTTTTATATTTGGATGCAGGAATGGATGCCCAAGTTGCTTATGGTTTCCATCATTTACGGAATGAGAAACCTTATCTTGCGCAAGGTCCTATTTCAAATAAGGTTTGATTGGATTTCTTTCCCCGACGTACAAGTTTTATGCTATATTTGATATTATCTTCTGTTGAGTATTTATTACGCGTTAATGGTGTCATAAGCTAGTGCTTTGGCAAATACTAGGCACTTTTATTGCCGCCGATGTTTCAAACAGTTCGTATTTTGTGTAATTTTCTGAATTGTTTCTTTCCCTTTTTCTACTTTTCATACTCTATAGTAATTTAAATACTGTGGAACATGGTTGCGCTTCAGCAGACATCAGGTTGTAGTGTGTTCCTTCAAGATAGTCCTGGACTTGAATGCATGCCATGATAATTATAGGGGAGGAAGCTTTCCCTCAATTATTTCTTGATTTTTGCAAGTTGTGATCCCAGGTTCCCTTTCATTCGCAGTACAACTTTTGGTCACACTAAGCTGAAGCTTCTGCCCGACTTTATTTTTTCTTGCTTTTCACATAATTTTTTTTTCATAAATGGTGTTGTATTAAAAAGAAATGAGAGTGAAATGCAGGTGCACAGAGGGCATACCCTCAGTCAGTAAGACAATGACCCCAATCTGATGAAACTAGGGATCTAAAGAGTGATGAGAAGGCCCATTTCCAATACAATGGAAGAAAAAACAACCTAAATTTAAACAAGAATATCATTAAGGGTTGCATTTTGCATTTTGGCTTTTCGAACATTTTTATACTTTAATATCTGTTTTGTGGTGGTTAGTCAGTCAGGTCTCTTTCTTGAATTCTAACAGCCACTTTCACTCCTTTCAATTATCAAGCTCTCTACTCATTGGATGGTTATAGAATGATAATTTGGCTAGATTTGAAAGGCAGTCACATTAGAAGAACATGCTTACCCAATTGAGATCTGATGCCCAAAATGCCCAGATTTGTGGAAAAGCAAGGCTCCGTTTGGTTAGATGGAAATAGCAGGAAAGGAAAAGAAATGGATTTTATTTTTTTTATTTAAGGAATTTGGATAGGATGAGAAGAAATATATTGAGGGAGAGTAACTTTTCATAACCATCTAGATTTCCCGTAAAATTTTCTTACAAAAAACACAGGAAAAATTTACTTTCTTAAGAAATAAAACACTTGTTCCCTTTTTTTCTCTTTCTAAATAAAATGTGTTTATGCATAATCTTTTTATAAGAATGGTATAATGGTCTGTACCTCTGTCGAAATGTTCTATGAACTTTTTATTTAGATTCTTATATTACTTTTAGTTTTTTGAAAAAGACCAAAGATATTTATTCAATACAAATTAATTTAGACCTATATATCCTGTCTAAAAGGATTAGGACAATTAGGTAAAGCATAATATTGTGTTGAAATTTTCATGCTATCCAAACTATGAAATGGTGCTTTCCCACAAATTTCTTAAAAATTTTCATGCTAACCTTAGTTTACTTTCTTTCACTTTCACTTTCCACTATTAATTTCCATCTATCCAAACAGACCCTTAGGAAACATGCCAAAGGATTGATGAAAACAAATTCAAGCAAAGAGACACAAAGAAAGGTCTTTGTGTCCTTTCCTTATCTGTTTTCATGCTTCTGATTTGAAATTCATTGGCTCAAACCTGTGGCAAATTTTCCTTTGATTCATAGCTTTTAGTGCTATTTTTTGATATGTTAGAGATCGATTTCTTTTTTCAATTAATACAGAAACTCTATTAATTTGCTTAATATATCAAATATGAATAATTCAATTATTCTAGGGCATGCAAAAATACGTGATTTCTAACTGACCCTCTTATTGTCCCAGTTGATCTACTCTGGATACACCTGTAAACAAGGGTGGTTCTTCACACCTTGCATAAGTGATCCAGGATTAAGGTCAGAAATCCCTCTCACTTGAGGAGTTATTGTATTTATTTGGTGGAACATGTCTGATTGTCATTGCATCTATGGTTGTCAACTTGTGTATCATATCATGAATTCTTTCCTTATTTTCTTCATTGGCATATCATATCTTGTATCATATTGATACACTGACACATTAAAAACATTCACGATCTAAAGATGAAGCTTATTTATTGACAATGGGATGCATTTGAAAAGTAAGACATCCAGGTAACATGAATATGCTAACAATTGAATAGAAAACGCATGCATCCATTATTAGCAAATTATGAAGACTAGTGGTTATTGGATGTTGACAAATCATTGCATGGCTTCATCACGAAAGCATTTTCACTTCACTTTTAGTTCCCAACTAATGTAGTACCATATTACATTTATCTTTACTTGATGTTGCACCAATTCCACCATCGATATAGCCCACTTTGAAGGAAGTTTGCTATTTCAACGTATGATCTTTGTGTAATAGTTTTAGTGAAAAAAATATTTAATATTTATTGCTTAAGGATGTATTCATAAGATTATTCACAGCTCAAAGTTGGTTGGGACAACATGGCAAACCCGACCCACTAAAAAAAAAAAAAAAAGAAATGAAAGAAAGAAAAAAGAATGAAAAAAAAGAAGAAGAAGCTACTGCAATCTTATAATATCTAAATGAATTTGCTTATTTTTACTTGCTTTTGGTTATTCTTTTGTTTTATTATTTTTATTAAATTTTGTTTGTCTCAACTTGTGTCTTGATGAATGGATCTCTTTGAAATATTATTAGATAGTGCACGAGGAGTTCTCAAAACAACTTTTGAACTTTGGTGAGAGGAAGATACATTAGAATTAAGGGCTAATTTCAAAAAAACCCCACTACTTTCAATTTTTTATCATAAACCCCCAACCTATTTCAAAAAACCCCCTACACTTTAAATATTGATCAAATTGTCCCCAAACCCGTGTCCGACCCGTTAACCGGGCTGTGAAATGACAAATTTGACCTTATGATTTACTATTAAATTAAAAGTTAATATTTATTATGGTAAAAATGCATAAATACCCCTGAATAGGTCTTCTTCCTCTTCACCACCATCCCCGCTGACGAACCAGAGGACTGGCACGAAATAGACAACTGAATTCAGACCCAAATGTTCAATCCAAAACTCTTAACATGTAGACAAACAAAAGTACAAGTGAATAGATACAAATGCAATATATATTTTGGAAAATTTGCAGAATTTGTGGCGGTGCAAAATTTCCAAAGCAGGTGACAAAATTGATGGGATTAGAACCTGAACAAAGGGCTATTTCAACCCTCTGTGGCTCATCTTGATTAGGGCCAGCATGAAGGGCAATTTCATGACGACCTCGCCTTTGAACAACGAATTAAGCAAAATCCAAAAACAAGGAAGAGGCCCAAGGCAACCACAGCACCTGAATTGAGCTTGAAGACGGAGATCGCGGTGAGGTGAGAGGTGGGGAACATCGGCGACTCTTGACACAAAACCCAATTGCAAAACCCTTGCACCAATCGTACCCAAACATAACCCATTTACAGAACTTAACAAAAACCTCTCCACCGGATTCGTAACATTGACGTGGTCTCACCATCAAGGGCGTCGAACTCCTTATCTCGTGCCTAGATCGAGGAAGGCCTCACGATCGGTCAACGTTACATCAATGATCAGTTGTCTTCGGCAAACGTTAATCGCTTCTCCACCCAGGTCGCCGGACCTGGAATCCATAGACCACGATGACCCAAAGGTCGCCATCCTCTCTCAAGCCCTTGGGTCACTTTATGCGACTTGAGGCTTTTTTCCAAAGTGGCTCGATCTTGGTCACTGCTATATTCTGATCACCAGGTCGCGTTCCTCCTTCATTGACGACAACCATGGTCGCTTTCCCTTTCCCAAACGTAAAAAATGGATGGTTGCTACCTTGTTCAATTAATCAATATAATTGGATTTGCCCTTCAAATCTTCTAGGGTTACATAATGAAGGCAGTGATACGGATGACAATGGTTGCTGAAATCTTCTTTGCATCTTTCTCTCTCTTTCTGTCTTTCCTAGGGCACGAGTTGAAGAAATACTAGGTTTTAATTTTTGTGTTTCAGTTTTAGAGAGGAAGAAGACCTATTCAGGTGTAGTTATGTAATTTTATCATAATAAATATTAACTTTTAATTTAATAGTAAATCATAAGGTCAAATTTGTCATTTCACAGTCCGGTTAATGGGTCAAACACGGGTTTGGGGGGCAATTTGATCAATTTTTAAAGTGTAGGGTTTTTTTTTTTTTTTAATAGGTTGGGGGAAATGTTAAAAAATTGGAAGTAGTGGAGGTTTTTTGAAATTAGCCCTAGAATTAAAGCCTAGTCTGGTCTTATGAGATGAAGATTTCACAATCATGAGTAGCTCACCTAAATGCTCAGTTCCTTGTAAGAAATTTGATACATTAGTATTAAAGTCTAGTCCGGTCTTATGAGATGAAGATTTTCTAATCATGAGTAGTTTACCTAAATATTCCATTTAAAGAGACACTGTTTTGGATTCAAATCTTCACTTGTTCTAGGAATTTAACTCTGCCGATGATGGCCTTTCTTTTGCTCCTATTTTTTGCCGTCGTCTTCTTTTCTTTCTCACGTCCGGTAAAACTATCAGCATCATCGTTAGTTTCTGAATGTCTAAGGTTTCTTGTGTTTTACCTTGAGGTGTCGGCCATGGATACTAAAGCTATTGAAGACTATTTCTTATTCTCACTAGGTCTTCATCACTATAAGACTTTCATAGTTTTAGACTTTCCTTATTTTTATTTTTCTTTTCAGGACAATCACCTCTTCCATGTCCTTTTTCACCACTCCAATGAATTAACTCATTAAACCTAATTTTCTTTTCCTTTTCAGAATCCCCCTCTTATCTTTAGAAGAATTGTCTTTGCTAAAGTTCCTATTATACTTTGTCTTCTCTAAGATGCTTTTGAATTTTTTGTTAGTTGGGAAATCAATTTTGTCTTCAGCTTCACTGCTTGAATCATTACTTTCTTCCTCTTTAAATAGATTTTAATGCTACACTTTTGTTCTTTTTAAGTGGAGGAAAATTTAATGTCATAAGTATGTAGTAATCTAATCAAAGTCTTCTACCTTGATTAAAGTCTATGTCTTGACTTTCCTTAATAGTAGTTAGCTTTGGTTGAATCTTAAAAGGGAGAGACCTAAGTATTTTTCTATCCTCTGGAATATTCTCATTTAAAATATAAGGGTAAAGTACAGCAACACCCCTGAGGTTTGCCAAAAGGACAGTCAGATGAAAGTTACTTGTTTTTGGGACAATAACACCCCTTGAAGATTGAAAAGTGGACAAAGGCACCCCTTGAAGCCAACTGGCATGAAAAATTGACCAAATTGCCCTTTGACCATTTATTTGACTTTTATAACTTTAGAAGTTAATAAATTGGACGAAACTACCCTTTATGAACAAACAGCCACAATGGTAGGATATATACACATTCCTGAAACAGATTAATAAATTGGACGAAAGTACCCATGTGTGAATTAATAACAAAATTTTTGGTAAAAAATAAAAAAAACCCATTTGTTTTCATTCTACCACAATTTCTCAAAATAACAAAATTGATAACAAAATTGCATATTTCTTTTGCTGTAATAAAATTTCAATTTCTTATAAAAAGAAGAAAGTTTGACCAATCTAAAAGGGTGTCTATGGGTGCTACTTATATCTGTAAATATTGTTCAATTTTGCTTTAAAAAAATTGTGAGAGATTATGGATGGGTTATCCAACCTCTGAATGATGTCTTTCAAAAGATAATTGATGCTACTGGGTGTTACTTCGCTGCGTAGCCCACATTGGATTCGCTATTTTAGTTATTTAGTTATTTTCCATTCTGTTTTTATGGTAATAACAAAATTGATAACTCCCATTTGTTAAAAAAAAAAATAATTTCATTCTGGGCAATTCACGGGTTGTTAATCTGGCGCCAAGTGCGTTAATTTGTTGCGTTAAACTTTTAGGGGCAAGTGCGTCATTTTGATAGATCTGATATTTTGCAATAAATCTGAATTTAATATTAAGGGGCAATTTTGTCTTTTTATATGATTTAAGGCCTTGTTTGGATTGAATTTCTTCAATGGGGTGTCATTGTCCCAAAAACAGGTAACTTTTATCTGAGTGTCCTTTTGGCAAACCTCAAGGGGTGTTGCTGTACTTTACCCAAAATTTAATTACTATTTACTATTTTATCTTCTAGATTTTTTATTTTATTTTTTGAATGGTAAAGCAAACACATGCACCCTTTTGCCCACGCCCAGACTCGAACCCCTCCCCTCCTCTTTGAGGATGGGGAGGTTATATCGCTAGGCCAAAATAATATTCTTCTGGAATATTCTCTTTTAAAATATAATTACTATTTACTATGTCCGATTCGGAGTTCAAAAATCATCTGGTTCGCTGGGAGCGGGTGTGCAGTTCGATCCGGGCCGGAGGCTTGGGTTTTAGAAGATTGGTGCCTTTTAACAAGGCTTTCATTGGGAAGTGGCTTTGGAGGTTTGAGGCGGAGAGACATAGGCTTTTAACTGTTGCTGCATATTCCTTCGTGATGAGGAGACCGTGGATCACCTCCTTTTGCACTGCACTATGGCCAGGGAGTGTTGAGATTTGATGCTTAAGTTTGTTTAGGGTTTTGTGGGTCATGCCCGTATCCTCCCGAGGGTCAATTGAGGCTTGGAGAGGTTGTATAGTGGGGGCCCAAGTCCGGGATGTTTCGAGGGTTACACCTTTGTGTGTCTGGTGGTGTATTTGGCTCGAGAGGAACAAGAGATCTTTAAAAGGAAAGGAGAATCCTATTTCTATTCTTAAGCTTTCTATTATTTCCACTCTTTTTTGTTGGTGGGTTGTAGGGAGAAATTATAGATCTTTAGAGGAGATTGTCGGTTTTTTGGGCTCTTTGAAAGTCTAGAGGCCCTATTTGGCCTTGTGTAGTTCTCTTGGGATGCGCTCCCCTTTTGAGCGCTTTTATACAATTTTACTTATCAAAGAAGGAAAAAGAAAAGTTAGCATTTGTGTCTTAAATTTTTTTACTGTTTTGTACTTTCATGTACTTTTTCTGAAGTATCTCATGAATCCTTGGAGGTTGTACACAGATATTGCATTTAATCCTTTACAATTCCATTTACCTAGTTCAGTTTTATTCAATTAACCACTAGGTTTAGTACAGGATGACCTATGAAAATTTTAGTTCGACTTTCCCACCATCTTTAATAGCACTATGCATTTTTCCATCATGAATTTTAGAAAATCCCTTGTTTTGGCTTTTTCCAATAACCATAATTTGTTCCATCAATCAAGACTTACCTAGTTATTATTATTATTATTATTATTATTTTATAAGTAAGATTGTATTAGAAAGCATTCAAACAGGGAACGCATCCTGCAAAAGCTGTACAAGGCCAAATAGGGACCCTATAATGAACTTAGGTTATTCATTATCTACTCACTATGTCAAGCAAGCTACTTTAATATCGATCAAAGAATGAGGATCGTTACCGTCTGATAGTTGGAGTATGCGGAATGACCCAAACTAGACGTAGAGGGGGTCAGGGGTGAATAGGAGCCCGTTTGGGATGGCTTCCATATTGCTTAAAAACATTTTTATTTTGAAAAATTGCGTTCAGATGTGTTTGGTAACCATTAAAAGCGCTTTTAATGGTTACCAAATTTAGCTTTTAATGGTTACCAAATTTAGCTTTTAATGGTTACCAATTTAGCTTAGTAGAGCGTTTGAATGAAGCTAGAATTTGGAGCTTTCAAAACTACGTTCAGAGTAAAGGTTGAATATTTTAGGTAATTCTTTTTCATTAGACAATTTTGTCCTTTTTATTTTTTATAAAGACAATTACACTCCTTAATAAATAAAGTTGCTATTATCAAATATGGTAACATCCTATTAAAAGATATTATTGTAAAATTAGCAATAGAAGTGTTTCAAAAAATATTGTTGGCAAATAAATTTAAAAATAATTTAATTGTGTAAAGTAATTATAATGTGTAACTAAACACTTAACATGCTTTTTATTGACCGCAATTTCTTGACAGCTCTACTAATAAGAGCACTTTTTTAATTCCAACAGCCACCCCAAACGGGCTCTAGGTCTTGATAACTACTAATGAACTATAATATATTTTAAAAAATTTAAAAATTTGAAATGAATTTCAAATTTTCATTTACTATAAAGCATGCAAAAATCAGCATTCGTACATAAAAAATATAAATGCATCCACACATAAACACTGGATTTTTACGTGAAAAACCCTATAGGAAAAAAAATTAGGGGGTCTAGTTCGTGCAAATTCAAATAGACTCTAAACCAAGAATCCCCTACTATTTTTCAAGGTTGTTAAAATCGGGATTCTAAGTAGGACTGTTGGGGCCTCTGTAGAATCGGATCGAGAATCGTAAGATTCTACCAAACTAGTAGAAAAACATTTCAAACTAACTAGTATCTCTAAAATATAGCAAGAATAGGTTCAAAACACAAAAAATTTTAAATGGTACCACTCCATATATAATATATAAGAGAATATAGTGCTACTAATATATCCAAATAAGACAGCTATTCAAGATTTAAACTTTCAACATCAATTCAATTAGATATGAATTATTTTACTTATTAGATGCTAGTGCTTCTAACTTAGATGCTACTAACTATATAAATTATTGAATTATGAACATAAACGTTATACACTGAACAAAATTAACAAATTTATATCCAAAAATAGATACAGAACAGATTAACAAATTAAGGAACACCTGAACAAAAAATACCCATGCATGGGTATTTGATTAATTGATTTTTGTTCTTGGTTTCTTGTTCTGTTGTTACTTATTGTTCTGTTTATGACTTTATGTCAGTTGTTTCTTAGTTTCTTGTTCAGTTGTTATCAATTAATCAAATACCCAAAAAAGGGCAAAAAAAAAAAAAAAAAAAACACAAAAAACACACCTTTTCTCATCTTTATATTTAATGTTTTGGGGCCCAAGACCGCTGGGCTTTCTTAATAAAAGTGCCCAACTCATCAAAACAGGGCCAAACAAGGCGTATAGAGTCGGTATAATTTTACAAATCTACTGTTTGATTCTATGATTCTACGCCGATTCTACCGAAAGGTGCGATTTTCATGCGTTTTAACTTGTTTTGGGGGTCTAGGATCGTAGAATCGTGCGTTTCTACGACCTAGAATCGCAATTTTAATTCTAGGGACCATGAATTAAGCTCTGAGTGAATTATGTTTAGATGGTTGTGTTGATTGTGATTTGAATTTTAAATTGTATCTATTAGATTTCAAATTTATTAATCACATCCACAATCATGCACCCATAAAAAGTAAAGTGGAGCAGATGCACAACTATTTTACGTAGATAACCCTAAATAGGAAAAACCAAGGGACCTAGTCCAATCAGGAGCAATCCATTATATGAGAAAGACGTTACAACTTGGTTAACAGTTCCAACACCCTAGAACCCTAGTAATTTCTTGATTCAAATTGGTGTCAACAGACTTCACTTATTGTGAATCCGCTTCTCTAATGGTTGTCAATTCTTTTTTTTTTTTTTTTGATAAGTCTAATGGTTGTCAATTCTTCTACTAAAAAATCTGATCAATTGATTTGAATCGTCTCAATAAGCTTGATGAATTCCTTTTTGTTGAATACTCATACGTCTTGGGAATTCCTGGATTGAATATTTGGGAATTTCACTTTGTCAAGGATTTTCTCTTTCTAGATTATTAGAGGTTTCAAATCATAACCTAGACTGACTATAACCCCATATTTGTAGCCAATACAGGTAGCCCATACATTTTGGTAAGTTGAGTCCTCGTAGAAATCTGTTGTGAGAGAGTTTTCAAAAATATAGGTCCGAAAGTTTCAGTCGATCGAGACTTCGATCAACACTTACTGGCAACCTTCAATCGATCGATTTATCAATCAAATATAGTTTTCTGCAAAATATCAATCAATTGAGATTCCTATAGATCCTCTTAGGTTTTCAAACATGCAATTCAGACATCCGTTGTCTTTCGACTATTTGATCAACTCACTTTGGATAATCCTCGATCCATCAACTTATTGATCGAAATCTTCAGTTTTTCAGAAAAAAAACACAATTTTGAAAAATTTAATCTGTTAGATTTAACAAGTTATTTACAAGAAAAAACATTTGGAATAAAATTTTGAGCCTTCCGAGGATCAATCTAGGTCAATTTTCCTAGTGGCCTAGACGTATGATTGCGGATGCAGATTCCTCGTCATCTTATTCGCAAATCTTTGTCTGAATATGTCTTACTCAAGGCTTTGACACAATACAACCCAAGTTGAGAGTAGGAAATGTTCAATACAATTATACATGACTGTTATACCTAACAAATTCGATTGATCAACAGTAAAAAATCACAACTATCTAAGTGTGTGATGATGAATAAAAAACAAAAGAAATCTCTTGCAATTAGATTGCTGGAATGAACTCTGATTTTCCTCACAAATCCTTTTGACGCTCAATATATGCTTGTAGGTGCTCGGGTACCCTTTTTCTGAAAACACAAGGGCCAAGGCATTTATATAGAGCATTGAAACAGTTAAAGATTAGGGTTAAGAGAGTTTAAACCTTTTTTCACGGCCAAGGCATTTATATATAGCATTGAAGCAGTTAAGGATTAGGGGTTTAAACTTTTAGAAAACTGCCTTCCCACAAACTTTGATCAATCGAACCTAGTCCAATGGGTTTCGATTGATCCTTCGATCAATCAACCCCTTCCTAATTGCTTTACGATTTCTAAAATAGAAACAAAATTTTGAATTCAAGATTGGTTTTATAAGGATCAAAACATGTAAATTGAAAATCCTAGCTTGCCTTAATCCTATCTGTATGGGGTTGTCTTGTATGAATGCATATGAATCCAAAATTCGTGAGTGATAAATTGAGAGTTGAATTTACCTTTGCTCCTTGCTGATGTTTTGAATTTACTGATTTGCCCTTGGGTTGGAGGTAGCTTGACTATCTATTTAATTAACTTTTGAAACAATAATCAAAAGCTTAAAATTTTACAAACAGACTAGTTTTATACGAAATTAGCCAAAGTTCTGTTGATCTAGCTTTATATTTTATTTAATTCATGTTTTGCACGTATTGTAGGCTTACCATTTTAATGCGATTAAAATGATAATTATTTATCTTTAAGATTTTCTTGTGATGTGTGGGACATTCTCCTTATTGACAATTTCATGATAGACACTTAATTGCACAAACCCCATCTCTACATTTCTCAATTTTTTTTTACAATCACTTGTTTCAGGGGCTCACTTTTCTTTACTTGATAATTTGCACAAGTGTGAATGTTCATACCATTTTGGTCAATGGATTTACTGCATGGTTACTGTTTTCATAATTAGTCTCTATTTTGTTTTGCATGCACTTCTAGAGCTGTGTCAATCTTTGAATTTTGGAAAGTGTGACATTCATATTTGTATGTCTTTGCTAAAAGACATTCTTCATCTCTGTGTCCTCAAATCATATTAGTTTTGTTCTAGTGTAATAATGCTGTACTGTCTGATAATTATGCATGCAAAATCAAACTTCTTGCGGTGACATCTTTAAGCTAGGATTCTATTTCGCTTGAATGACAACCTAATCATTATTCATATAAATTCGACAACTTTATGGGTGCAGAGGACTCAAGAACATCCTAAGGTTGCACATTAAAAAGGTCAACTGCTCAGAATGGGAACAGGTTCCAGTCCCTTCAAGGTTGATTTAAATTGTTACAATACCTTTGTTTTTTATATGTTGCATTTGGTTTGATGATTTGCTGCTATACATCGTTCTTAACCTAGTCCATATCTGAAAACTCATGTTTTACACATGCCCGTAACAGTCAAATCTTCTTCTTCGGATTTCGTCCTATCTTTTCTACTCACTCAGCTCATCCATCTTAATATTCTCATTTCTGCTACATGAATGCATTTTTCTTGTTTCTGTTTTTGGGCCCAACATTCCGCTCCATATAACATAGTTGGTCTAATAACGGTCCTATAGCCTATGTGTTATTATTTTGTCACGTAAAATCCCACTAGCTTGTCTCCATTTAGTCCAACCCGCTCCAATTCTAGTGGTTATATCACTATATATCTCTCCATTCCCGTGCATTATTGATCCTGGGCCGTAAGTGGTTGTTTCAAGTAATCTTTCGATTTTAAAGTGTTATCATTATATTATCAATGTCTGATTCGTTATTAAATTTACACTCCACATACTTGGTTTTAGTTCGACTAAGTCTCAATCTTTTCGATTCTAAAGCATTTCCCCACATTTCTAGTTTCATTGTTAGGTTCTCTTTAGAGGTATCTAAGAGTACTATATCTTCATCGGATTTGTTCTTTACATTTATTATATTTATTTTAGAAAGTTACTGTCACTTTTTTTTTCCCCGAACTTCTTTGTTTGTCTGTTTCATTTGGCTGATAGTTTCTTTTTCTTCCAGTGTAAGGGCAATAGTTGCTTTAAATCTTCATAACTATGCAAGCGGAAGAAATCCATGGGGTAATCTGAAGCCAGAGTATTTGGAAAAGGTACCATTTATTTGCTACCTGAAATTGACCCAGTAGAATTTTCCAACCCAATGATGATATGTTTTTCTCAATTTCTTATATATCTAGATTGCCTGTGTTAGCCATGCATATGAGTAAATTGTAGGACTGAATGCTATTTTGAATCTTTAGGCTCTGGGAAAAAAATAATAATAATGGAAGTGGAAGTAATGGTAAGTGAAGTTATAGAAGGAAAATAGGTTTTCAAGCATAATTGTAAGTTCAAACATAGTGTTCCCAGAAACTTAAATTTTCATGCGTTATTTGCAAGAAAATGTTATGGGAAAGTTAAGCTGGGGCAGAGGGAGGTATCAAATAAAAGCGCAATAGTAATATAATATTTCATATATTATATACACACAATATATTGTTATATCAATTTAGTAAATGTCTCCTGAAGTCTGAAGCGGTCCTAAAAAAAACAATAAAGTCTGGAACGGTAACAACCCCAAGTCTCGATCCCTCTGGTTGGCATCCATGCTGCAAGTTGTATTGATTTTTGTTCATGGTGGAATTAGATAGATTAAATATATAAGTTTCACTCTCTCTTTTATTTCTCTTTCAGTCTTCTTTTGTTTTTTTAGTTAAAAAATCACAAATTCTACTTCTGTCATTTTTCAAAATCCTATTTTTTTTTTTCCCTTCCAAATACTCTTATACATTGATATATACATTATTTATATTGAATATACATATACATAACCCTTATAAATTTATACTTTATGACAATATATACAATATATACGTGTACATACATAACCCATATAAATTTATACAATAAATATTTGTACACATTCATATAAGTATAATATAAATTACTTTGTTATCAATATTGAAAAAAGAATTGCTGACACTTTTAGTTTAGATTCGATAATAGATGATAGTTTTCATTCTTTTAAAGATCGTCAAGCTCTCAGCTTTTGTAGCAGATATTTAATCTTTTTGATATATTTTTTTTCTACATTTCTATGTCATAGTTGATTAGATATATATATATATATATATATATATATATTTGTTTGGTGAACAAATAGGACAACGTTTGGCATAGATATATTTTTGGAATCTAATCGATAATGGAATACTTTTGGCTTAAAAATAGTCTTGTATTAGATCCTCTCATCTCTAGTAAATTACATACAATAATTGAGGCATTCGGTATATTTATAACATGCTCCTTTACCCTTCAGGGTAAGTGGGTGAATCCACCTTTTCATAAAGAAATGAGTTGACAATGAGCAAATGAGAATCTCCAAAAGTGTTGTATCTCATGAAAATATTTTGAGGGGAGATGAGGTAACCAGAGTGTCCCTACAGGTAATTATGACAGACAAAATGATAATCACACACTACTCTTGTCACTTGGTCAGCAGTTGTGCAACAGGTTGTTTTGTTTTTATTTTCCTCGAATTTAATTTTTTTTGGGCTTAGTTGGAATTCGTGCTGTTGTTTATTAACTGGGTTTCGTATTTGAGTTAGGCTTCTAATTCATGTTACAGGAGTGATAGAAAATGTGGAGTTGAAAGCTGTTGAGCAACCTGAATTTCATATGGGGTGTGGGATACTTAATGTAGGGTGGGTTGGGCACTGTAACTTGGCCAAACAATGTAACCAGAAGTTGCCAAATTTCCTTGCGCCTTGAAATTTCAAATTTGTTCTTGCTTCTGGATTCCTTATTGAGGTTTTGATGCTTCAACCATGTGCTTGCATTTTCGTTCACCTTGTTTCTTCTCCACACTTTGTTTGCTGAGTGTACAGTTGTGTGCCACATATTTCTGTTATAAAATCATTTCTTACTGCTGTTTTTGTTGCAATTTGGTATTTATATTGAATAGGAACTTTTACTACTTGCTTTATTGTACACTCTAGATAAAACTCTGTTGAATCCCAAACTGAAGATGGTTTTCTTGATATTAACTGTTTAATTTTCAGAAAGGCTTTGTTGAGGCTCATTCTGATGACGGTCTCCTCGAAGTTTTTGGCTTGAAACAAGGATGGCATGCTTCGTTTGTTATGATTGAACTTATCTCTGCCAAACATATCGCCCAGGTAATGCTAGTTGTGTTGAAAATTTCTTACATCTTCATTCATGAACATCAAGTCTATACACTTAACCTTGCTGTAAATGCAGGATTTTCTGGAAAAATAGTGAGTGTCATGTGCTAGATTGTCATGGGTTATTATTGGGGTCCATTTCTTGAAAATTTCAATGTACAAACACTTGAAGGAAACAGGGTATTAGAGCTTCTGAAGTGGCATTCGCCTCTCTTTATTCTTTTTCTTCTTTTATCACACTAAGTTGGTTGAATCTCCTTATAGAAGTTGCCACATCCATTTGAACACCTTAATATAATCTCAAAATATGCCCCTGTGATGTACAAAGTGAATTGATTTGGTTTGCTACATTCCTCCACTTCCTCAGTTTGAAGAACAATAGGGCAATAGATCAACTAGTCTTCAATAGTTGGTGCTTAGGGAAAGATTTTTGCTTGGGAATGAAAAAGATCATGATTTCAAAACAATTTAATAATTTATTGTTGTTTTTGTTAAGACCTGTGGTGTTCTTTATCCAATTAGGTTTTTCAGCATATGAATATTTTATGTAGGATGCATCAGTGGATGCAGTTTGCTAATTAAGAAGCACACAGTGATTGAGTTGCATCTAGTAATTGATTTTTTCGTAATAAGAACTCCTAAATTCAAGCTTCATACTTGCAGCTTTGTTAAGTTCCTGGTGTCCAGTTCTTTAGTCCTCCAGTTTTTATTCCTTGTTTTGGGATTTTGGAAATGGCACTTCTTCAGTATCTTGCTTTGTATTTTGGCCAAGAACTGTTTGTAGTTCCATGTACTGCGATATGAAAATTTTCCCTCATGTTTGTTACCTATGTTGGTTTGTTTAATAATAGAAATTGAATATAGGAAAAAAATAATTGGAAGAAAAATTGTATTGATGAACCATTAGTCCCTCTATACTGTGTGCCCAATTTATAAGAAAACGGGCAGAAACCTTCTGAACTCATAGTACTCGTAAATAAGGCCTTAATTTGACCACTTAAATAATTAAATTATATAAAATATGAAATTCACCAAATTGGAAACCATGAAAATGAAAATAAGATTTTCTAAGTGCCATGCTCTTGTTGCATATCATTTTACACATTGGAAATATTGGTTGAGTTTTATATAATATTTCAAGTAAGGCTCATATATTTGATTGGTACTTTGCGGAGCCACTTAATTATGTAACCTTATGTTTCTGACCGTCATAAGTTTTGATATGTCTTCTCTGTTGAAGTTCTGGAATCTGATTATTCTTTAGAAACTTAGGGCCTCTGTGGTGGTGTTTTCATTTTGGCTGAATCATTTGTACTTTTGTTTTGTTCTATTTTTTATTTTTGTTCCCTGACCTGAAAAATGAAAATGATCAAATTTCGAAGGCAGATTTTTGGATCATTTTCGTTTTCTTGTGAACTTGGGATTTTGAAAGGGCAGAGACTCATTTTGGTAATTTCCTGAAAATGGCCACGAAGATTCTCTGCCGTTAATGTTTTCTGCATTGTTTTCATTTTGTTTTTGCTTTGTATAAATAATAGAAATATCTGCGTGATTGTCAATGCCAGCATCTCTTTTGTTAAAAATGTGTTGGGATAGATGCTGTATGCTTAAGATGATGAATTGAAAGAGTTTTACCGGCATTTTCCAGGCTTCAGCAATTCGATTTGAGATTAGAGGTGGAGAGTGGAAAGAAGGTTATTTGCAAATGGATGGAGAGCCGTGGAAACAGCCAATGAACAAGGATTATTCAACTTTTGTGGAGATAAGAAGGGTACCATTTCAATCTATTATGGTGAGGGGAGATTAAGTTTTACAGCTTTCTCTGATACAGCTTTAGACCCCTGGATTATTGCGAATTGCTCCCATTTCAAGACTTGGAATGCATGTACCACATTTCATCTCGTGAGTGCTTTTAATTTAGTTGTATGTACCAAAAGTTAGTAAGCACCAGGGAATTGTTGTATCAAGTCCAGTGTTAGTCAATTTTTGCATTTAAGTTATAAACTGAATGGGTAGCTTTAGAATTTCTTATTTAGAGAGATTCAAGTCAGTGGTGGTAAAAGATTAGCAAATTAGGTGGTTTTGGATTCAAAACCATGAAGCTATGAACTTGTAAAGTGAATTACACAACATTTAATGGAGGGTGCTTCGATACATGTAATCCAGCAAGGGAGTGGTGGGTCTTGACTTGAGTGGGAAAGATTTAGTAATGGTGGTGGTGTTGCATATAATGGAGTCCATTATAATAAGAGTACAGGAGATGATCAAATGTTGCATGTTCCATGGAATTTCGAATTCTAATGTGCTGTAGAAAAGATAGCATTTGATGATTCAGTATACATTTTTGTGATGTCTCCATTTTAGTTGTGGGTAGAATGATATAAATGAAAAATGTGTTGCTTACTGAGGGAAAAAAGAAATGCAGAGGGGAAGGAGCTACCTTATGTTTAGGTGTGAAAATGTGTGTAGGAGTAGGAGAAAGCAGTTAATTTGAGTTGATCCTTCTGTTTGTGGGGGCAATGGAGTGGACCTGGCTAAGGAGGTTGGAGGTGGTGGGGGCTAAGGAGGTGGTGGTGCACATCTCATAGTTTGGTGGCAAGTTAGTACAATCGTGTGTCTTCCCACTGGGGAGCATTTTTTTTTTCTTTTTCTAATCACTACTCCATAATGATTACTGACTCATACTCCACAACTATATGGTATATCCCTCCCTCTCTCTCACAAACCAACAAAATTCCTAGTTTCTATTACCTTATTTACATCAACTTTATCAACACATCTATGATATGTGTTTTTTTTGTTCCTTACCATAAGTGTTCGTCTTCAAAATTATAGGACCAAACAACGGTGGTGGTTTTAGTATGCTATATTTAATTTGTTGCACTTTTGGATTTGATTAGTTACTTGCGTACGTGGATGCACATCACGCTATATCACACCCAAAAATGTGGAGTATTTCCAATGCCAATCACTTTTTCTATAATAAATCACCCCACTCACTACTCCACACATAACTTATGGTACTAGAAAAATAAAAATCATGGTTTTTTTTGGTTAAAAGCCATCTAATATATTATTAATTGTCTCACGCTACACACAAATAGTAAGGTACACACTTGTACATTTGTATAGATGTACATAATACAATCAAACTTTCCAGTTGGTGGACCCTTCAATAAACTGACTTTATATATGTGTATATATATATATATATACAGTATATGACTTACAGGAGTAATTAATAAGAATACCTGCCATGTGTGTCGACAGAAAATGGTCGATGAAAATAAGAGACGTTGGCCCCTTCCCTCCCTGATTGTTAGTAAGCTTTGGACTCGTTTCATGGCAGGGGATGCAGTGACTCATCAACTGGAATATTAGGCACCCTTTCATGCCTACGCAAGTCACCTCAAAATTAGCTATCAATTAGTTGCATTATACTTGTATATTACAGAGTATAAGAGAAATCAATGGCAATGGCAAAACTCAACACATTCAATTTATTTTCTTTTATTTTTCCCTATGCTTACTACTCCTTTAGAGGGATGAGGTTACTCTATCTAATCATAAATTATTTTTTTTGATTGTCAAAAATAAAAATATCATTATCGAATAAATTATCTTATTTGAGAGGACCTCTTATTAAAAAAAAAAAAATTAATATGGATAGTTATGACATTATAAAATAAGAAATGGTTGCATTAATGAATTCAAGAAACTTATTGTCATTTCACTTTAAAAAATAATAATAATTAAAATACAATAAAAAGTGAAAATATCGTCTACCTATATATATATATATATATATATCCACCTTATCTTCTATTATGTATTAAGACAATTGTATTTAATTGAAGTAATTACTCATGTTGGAAAAATGGTCATATTCTCTTCTTTAAAGTTTCGAATGTATATAATTGTTTTTTTTTCTTTCTTTTTGGATATATATAATTGCAAAAGCTACAATTAACAAAAAAAAAGTAGAAAGAGCGGCTTAGAAAATGAGATCAGCAAAAAATAAAATATGATAGTGGTGGTAACCCACTTCATTTTCAATTAATTAAGCAGCTATATATAGAAACAATAAAGCTGGTGGTAATCCCACTTTAGAAACTAATTATTCAATTGCCAGTGAAGTTACGTCTTACATCCGTGGAAATTAATGTTAAATAATTTTTTGTAATTATTTGAATGAAGTCATTTTTTCTTTTTCTTTTTCTTTTTTAAATATCAATGTAATTTTTATAATTAATTTCTTTATTTAAGGCTAACAAGTGGATATCGATTTGAATGCCAGCCCCCATTCATTAAGTTTAGTTAGAGGGCGTAAAACTCAATTATTGCTCTACTGTCAACCTTAATTAAATTGAAATTCGATCAAATTAATGAAGGCAATATGCTTAGGTGAGTTTGCATTGATCTCTACTCAATCTTGGATGGACGGGACATTGTGTTACTGCATTTATATCTTAAATGTACGCGTACTCAATGAGTTTTTAATTACCATAAAAAAGAATAACAATAAATAAAAGAGAATCAATATAGTACAATGTTATCATGATGTTATTTAGGATAAGTAGTACCAAATAATACAACCCAGAACAGAATTAAAAGGGGAAAAAAAAAAAAAAATGTGAGACAGATAGAGATTTGGACATATGAAATTCAAGAGATAAAAGTAGTGCAACCCAAAGGATAGGAAAAAGAAATATTTTGTTGCATATAAGTTAAAATAATCAGAAATACATAAAATAAGCTTTAATTGTCAACAAATCAATGAGTGGGATTTGGTTTTGATTTGTTTGTCACTTTTATTCTTGTTAAACTTTGTTTCCAATGTAGTAATAAGATACTCCACACAATCGACAGATTTGCAATCTAACAATAACAGCTGGTATATGGGACCGAATATGGATATATATCCAATTGTGTGTCTTTGGCGTCCACGTCCGATGGTGGAAGCTGACGATGATGAGGGTGTCCTTAAAACTATGGACCCACTTCATCACTCATTTTGGGAACATTCATTTCATATATATATATATACACACATACTGGTCCTTCTCACCCATGATTGTAAGCAACAGAAGTTATACTGGAGGTTTAATAGATGCATACACAGTATCATTATTATCATCCTCATCTTAGTCTCAATTTACCATCCCATACGATGTGAATGAGATCAATGGTGTAAATTTTGTTCTTTTCTTGTATATATACCTTTTTTCTTGCATTCGAACGTGCATAGGTATATGTAGACAGAAGATTTATATATATACATACACACACAAATATAGTTGCAGTAGCCCATTGGCAATGGGGTTGGGGTGGGAGGCAAAGCATAAACTGGTGGTGGGGCCTTTAGGTGTGTCCCCAATACTTGAGGGTCCCATTTGCATCCCTTCGATCTCCTCATTTATGATACCACACTTGAAATTTTGACACCATCTTCTATTTTGTCCAAAACATTGTATGATAAAAAAAATGTCATGATACAAAATCTTATTTTTCAAATTTGATGTCCTATTGTGCTATGAAGTACTTAGAGACTAACTATATGTTTCTTTAGCAAAAATTTATATGTAAATTATGTTGCTTTTTTAAATAAGTTTTTAGAATAAAAATATAAATGATTATTTATATTAAAGTTATAAAAGCAAACTATAAGGTCCTATTAATTATAAACTCTGTTTGTGCAGTGTGAAAATTAAAATTCTTTGTCTTTAGATAAGAAATAAACAATATATATTATTCTTTTTAGGGATGCACAAAAAAACCGTAGAACCGAATCGTGGTTTCGGTTCCGATTCCAGTCTCGGTTCCTATCCTGGTCCCGGTCCCGGTTTTGAAAATAGGAACAGTGGGTTTACGGTTCCGGTTCCGGTTCCAGTTCCAGAGCCGTGGGAACCATTAGGAACTGGAACCGTATATATATATATATATATATATATATATATATATATATGACTAGATATTTAATTATATATATTATTAATTATATACCTACTAAACTCATTCATATTTCATATCATACACTCATACAGCACTACGGTAACACGTGGTCCACCACTAAACCACAAAAACTCATCTAAAGTTCTATACCTAACCCTTGCATCCCCTTTCTCTTGGTTTTGGCATTAAAGAAAATGGGATAAAAGAGGGTTGGTATGACAGCTCGAGCATTCTTTTCGTTGTCCTTTTGGAGATGGTTGTATCAGCAGTGACTAATTTCAGGCGATCAAGACAATTTGATGGATTGTCCAAAGTTTCTAACAATATCTAAGTTGAAGTCACGAGAAATGGGAGGCCTCAACATATCTCCATATTTCATATTTTAGTTGGACATGTGGTGAACTTGAAAATTGGAGATCAAATTCTAGCTGATGGGTTGTTCTTGTATGGCCATTCTTTACAAGTAACGAATCAAGAATGACAGGAAAGAGCAACCACGTCAAAATTGATGAAAATGTCAATCCATTCTTATTTTTCAAGGCCAAGATAGAGAATGGGTATACCTGGATGGTTGTCATAACAGTGGGGATGAACACTTTGTGGGGTGAGATGATGAGCTCCATAAGCCATGACTCGAAAGAGCAAACTCCATCACAATCAAAACTCACAAGGGAACAACAGGAAAAAAGTTTATAGGTGGGGAACCGTGGAACCGAACCAAAACCGAATCGGTATTCACGGTTTGGTTTCATACACACACGGTTCTGGTTCCGATTCCATTTAAGGAATTGTTGTGATCGGTTTCAGCTCCTGTCGGAACCGTACTAAACCGAACCGTGTACATCCCTAATTCTTTTTGATTCATAGAATGTTCTGTTTGTGTGACAATTTTTTTTTTTCCTGATATTGGGATTAGAAAGGTTTGATTGCATTCACATGATAGATTGCATTTGATTGACAAATTATATGATAATTAATTAATTTAAACTAGCTAGATGAGATTTAACAACTCAAAATCCCCTTCAACCAACCTTCTTCGTTATTAGAGTAAGTGGTGTAGGCATACAAGCTTATCTATCTACTTTTTTAAAAGTAAAGTGTTACATAAGCTAAAAAGTGATGATATGGTACTCTATTTTTTTTTTCCTATATGTTCCATGGTGTGGAACCCAATTATCACATTTTCTATTTATTATTTTATT